CTCACTATGAAGACCAGGCTGGCCTTGAACTCACAGAGATCCACCTGCCTCTGCCTCTGGAGTGCTAGGATTAAAAGTGTGTGCCACCATATCCAGCTTCAGTGAACTCTTATTCATATGGATACTTTGCTTACATTCCCCCTGAGTGATGTAAGCCTCTGAAACAAAAGAACTGGGGAATAGCAAGAGATTGGCCTTTTACCTCTCACAGGTTTTAATACTGAGTGGACAGTGTGTCACTCCTGGTTTCTAGCTGAGGAAACTATAGTAAAATCTTCAAAGTTCTCTCTTAGATCTCACTTAGATTAATACCTGGCTAAGTCCTTGTTAACCCCAGGTCAGGCTGATTTGGGGATAGGTTTTTCCTCTGCCTTGTGGTTGACTGTCCACCACATCTGACACTAAACTAGTATAGAAGGAAGACAGCCAGGGAAAATCAGGGGAAGATGCTGGTGGTGGTAAAGCCCGTCTCACAAGGCAAGCATTTATCTTCCAGATTTGAGACAAGGTGAAAACATGCCCTTTGTGTTAAAAGAAAAGTTAAGTGCTACATCCACTAATATGGCAATGTGGGAAATTCTGAAAACCTGAATTTCATAGTTTCAAATCAAATCATAAACAGAGTGGGGTTTCACACCTAGACAATAGCTCAGTTTCAAATGGTATTTAATAGAATAAAATGGTAGGTAGCTCAATAAATGAATTTACCCAAAATTGAGCCTCAGAGTATGCCAACAAGTTATGATGGCTAGTTGTCCTGGAAGCACTTTATATTTCTGCCTGGAGGTCTAAGGCCTTGATGATTTTCTAAACTAGGATTTCATGCAAGTCCTTCATGCAGCGGTGGTAGCAGATCTCTGATCCTGGCTCCATGCTGTGGTCCGGGTTGTGCTGTGGCACAGTCTAGCCTTGCTCTTGTGGTCATTCCTGACCCACTGTCATATTGGAGACTGAAGTTTATAAAACAGCCACATGTTGCTGGGAAGGGTCTTTATCTGCTTATGTTCTTTGCATATTTCCTGATTAAAGAGAGCGTGAGGATTGAGAGAGTTTTTGATCTAGGGCTACAGAAAAAAAAAGTGAACATATTTTATTAGTTCTAGAATGCTCAGGCAAGTCTCCTGTGTGGGAGCTAAAGAATTTAGGGAACAGGAATCGACTTTTAAAAAATTTATTTTATTTATTGTGGTGGAGGAGGTCAAACCCAGAGTTTCACAATGCTTGGCAAGCATTTAATACTGGAGCCACACTCCCAGCCCTTCAGATGACCAGGTTTTTTTGATGTTTATTTGACATGGTCTTGTGTATTCCAGGTTTGCCTTGAACTCCCAACAATCTTCCTGACTCAGCCTCTTGAGTGATGAGGCTGTCCTGTGTTGTATGGCTGCATATAGTTTTTAAGCTGTTACTAAGTTGATCTTATTAGCTGTATGTAGTTCAAAGGGCAATAAGAAACTTTTCTGTCAAAATTCATTTGAAACTGGGTGTGGTAGCACATGCCTTTGATCCCAGCACAGAGGCCAAGGCAGGGTGGATGGATCTCTGTGGGATCAAGGCCAGCCTGAATACACTCATAAATAATAATAATAATAATAATAATAATAATAATAATTCTTTAAAAAAATAAATTTAATACAGTAAAAAGTGGAATATTTTTCATGTTCTTGAGCTTATTTTGTCCTTTTTTAAAAAAAATTTATGTGTATGAGTGTATTGCCTGCATGAGTGTAAGTGCACCCATGTCATGCATCAGATTCCCTAGAACTGGAGTTATGATTCGTTTTAAACTGCCATGTGGGTGCTGGGAATCGATCCCAGGTCCTCCACAAGAGTAGCCAGTGCTCTTAACTGCAGAGTCATCTCTCTAGCTCCTGTCTGTTTAGTTTTTTTTGAAAAAAAAAAAAAAACATTCTTAGCCTTGCGTGGTGGCATTTAATCCTCACACTCTGTCTACATAGTTCCAGGACAGCTGGGACTACAGGGAGACCCTGTCTCAAAAAGACCCCCCCCAAAAAAAAGAAAAACAACAAAAAAAAACCCTTTGTGTGTGTCTGTGTGTCTGTGTCTGTGTACATGTGTGTAGATGCCTGCTGAGGCCAGAAGAGGGTGTCAGAGCCCCTGTAGCTGGAATTATAGGTGACTGAACAGCCAGAAGTGTGTGCTGGGAACCGAGCCCCAGTCCTCCGAAAGAACAAGAAGCACTGTTAATCTCAGCCATCTTTCTAGCCCCCATCTGTTCACTGGCAGAACAGTGAACAGATCTTTCCCATTGTTTGTACTGTGCTGTGTTTAACAGCCTGCTGTTGATGGACATTTTGGTTCTCCTGGTCTTTTACTGTTAGCAGCACAGAGCACTTGTCATCACTGTTGCTCTGAGCAATGCTGGAGGGTGGCCTTGACTAGGGAAGGACTGAGATATGTGTGCAGGGCAAGGGGCCTGCATTGGCGTGGTAGCTGCTCTCACATCTAACAGGAGAGAGAGAGACAGTATGGCCAGATGCTTGGGTGGGGGGTATGTTGTAGTCTCAGTGTATGGACTTTGTTTTATGATCACCTCCAGTTTCTCATTATAGTAAAAAATAAAGTTGTTCACTAAAATTACATAAAGGAAAATTGTTTTGAATAGTGGAAGTGATAAAAGGGAAGAATTGACACAGTTGGATGTGAGTAGATTAGAGAGAAAGTTGATTGCTAAGTACTCAAAGTGAAAGATTGTGATAGTCAAATGAGACTAGTCAGCATGGTTGTGTGTTTCTCCAGCTGTGTTGAGCTGTGTATGTAATTGGAGAGTTGAACTCAACCAGCTTTGGGGTTCAGCCCAGTGAGCTCTGTTCCTCTCTCTACTTAAAGTGACAGAACTAAGGTTTAGTTATCAATGATAATGAACAATGGAATCTCTTAGCAAGAGAATATAATTTTGTAGATTGAGATCTGAGGTGGTGGGTACTGCATCAATTTCAGGAATGTTCCTGTCCCTCTCTTGGCTTTCAGATTTCTGACTACACGATGGTACCAGACATAGCTGCCTTGTCAGAGCAGCTCCGAGTGTGTCTCCAGGAAGGTGACGAGAACCCTCGTGATTTTACCACCCTCTTTGACTTGTCCATTTACCAGCTCGATACCACCTGTCTTCCCAAGGTCATCAAGTTAGTACTGGGGTTGCCTGTACTATACACCATAGTTTACTCTATTTGGTTTGAGAACATGAGCCTGGAGACAAGAGTTGAACTTAAAGCAGATGAGGCAGGAAAACATGTTCTGAGATCAGTGATGAGGTCAGTAGGTAAATTGGTATGGGTTGTGTGCAGAGGAATTGTCAGTAACTATTCCCTTTGAATAGTCCAGGATCTACACTTGGCATTTAAGGGCAATGAAGCCTTTTCCATTTTGCCCATGACTTTTCTGGGTTTTGTCACAGAGTCCTAGGAACTCCTGAAACCCCTTAGTAAACAGATGTGGTTGATCCCCTGGAAAGCTCTTACACAGAGTTTAGGGAGCAATGAGGTTCTTGGACCTGTCCATCACAGCCTATATGGCATGTGTCCTATGGACTCTTTCTCCCAGTATCCTTTACTCCTCACCCACTACTCTCATCTTTTACTAGCTCCACCTTTCCACACTCCTAATCTGCAGCAAGTGTCCGAACTGGTTTCTTTGCCTACACTTTTCCTGACTCCAAGTAATTGTACAAACTGCTGCAAGAAATTGTTTTTGGTGCTGAATGTGGCTCAGTGGTAAAGCACTGCATGCACCAGGCTATGGGTTTGATTTCCAGTGCTGGAAAAGAAAATTCTTTCCGCTGTTTTTGGCAAACACAGATTCAAGCATGTCCCTCTGCTAGAGGTCTTTCCTTGTTTCTCACATGTGGCCTGAGTGTCAGGCTGCCCCATTGTGTGGCTATATACCACATGGGTAAACATCTAGGGCTTTGCCAAATGCTCTTTCTCAGTGCTGTGACCGGGCTCCTAAAATGTTCTCACCCCTGACAAGCACACAGCACACAGCACTAAGTAGACACAGGCCATCATAAAGAAATGTTTGTTGAGCCAGGTGTACTGGAACAAACTTGTAATCTCAGCATGGGACGTACACGGAAGAAGGAGGGCCTTGTTGGAAACCAGCCCAGGCCACATAAGAGGAACCATCTTGAATCTGTCTCTTAAGAATGTGAGCTTGAGCTGGGTGTGGTGGCAGGCATAGCCTTTAATCCTAGCAGAGGCAGAGGCAGAGGCAGATGGATCTCTGTGAGATTGAGGCCACCCTGGTCTACATAGTGAGTTCCAGGCCAGTTGGGGCTATAGGGGACCTTGGGAAGCTACGTAAAGTTTTAGTTTCCTCCAGCTGCAGAAATTATGCCCACCTTCTAGTATGTTTTGAGGCCTAAATGAAATGAGTTTAGTGACTCTGCCTGCTACAGGCTCAGGCCCAACACATGGCATGTAGTAGGTAGGTGCTCATCAGCTATTTCTCTGCCCTTCGTGGGGATCTGCTGCTCACTGCTGGGAAAGGTTCTGCCCAGGCACCTGGGAAAATGGAGCCCATAAACTATAACAGTAGCTCAGCCGATCACCTCCCTGCATCCATAGATTTCACTCCTTTCTGAAGTTGTATACCCACTGGCATTCACTTCTCTCACCTGTGAAAGGCCGCAAATATGTATCAGATGTACATGGAGGGCAAGGCATAGTGGTGTCAGATCTGTAAGCCCAGCACTTTGGAGGCTGAGGCAAGAAGATCATGAGTTCAAGATCAGTCAGACCCTGTCTCAAACAAAACAACTAAATGAATAAAGAGAATTAAATTTGAATGCGTGTTTTTTAATTTGTCTTGTGCCTAGAGGAGTATGCAAAATTACATATAATGCAAAAGGACAAATGGATGTTAGAGACAGCAAAGGTAAAGGAGAAACCACAGGAGCCACATAGCCACAGTGAACTTGGCACCGGGGTCTATAATGCCCGTTCACCATTCTTCTGCCACAGTCGTCCCTCCAGCTGCCTACTGTTCTGTCACAAGGACTATCACCCCTTCTGCCTAGTCTTTTTCGGGTTGCCTAGAATTTTTTTTCTTCCCAAGATGAGGTATTGCTTTGTTGTTCAGGCTGGCCTAGAACTCACTGTAGTTCAGGCTGGCCTTAAGCTTGTGATCCTTTTGCCTCAGCCTCCTGAGTCCTGGAATTACAGGTCTGTGCCACCCACCACATGCCTGCCTCAGCTTAAGACACTTGAAGGTAACTGTATGACTTCCTTCTTTCTTTAGCTCAGTCTTCTGACCAGTCCCATTTCCAGCCCATTGTCTGTCTCTATCCTTGTCTCTTGATTTGTTTTCTTCTTATTACTTACCAATACTTGACTATTACCTGCGATTTTGTTTACTGTGTGTCTCTCCTCCCTAGAATGTAAGTTCCATGAGAACCTGTCTCTGTCTCCTCTCACTACCATCATACTCACAGCATGTGAAACTGCCCGGTACATGCAGGTAGCCAGTCAGTACTGGCAGTGAAGTGAACACAGGATGTATGTGCACATCTGTTCATTTGCCAGGGCAGTCTTCATCCTGGAGACTTGTCTCTCAGTAGTGAATACAAATATGAAAACAGAGTTACAAGGGTCACAGCATGCATTGGGTAAAAACCAAAAACTCTTTGAAGAGAATGGTGGAATTTGAAAGTTTTCCTTTCAGTCTTCAGATAATGCTGTTTATTCAGTAGAGAAACATCTTAAAAGAGCATTCTGTTAGCTAGAACAACATTTTAAAATATTTTTTATTAAATTTTATTTTGTGTGTGTGTGTGTGTGTGTGTGCACGTGCGCGCGCGCGCGCATATTCAGCGTATACACATTAACTTGCAGGAGTTGGTTCATTCCTTCTGTCTTGTCCTGGGAACTGAACTCAGATCATCAGGCTTGGTAGCAAGTACCTTTCCTCACTGAACCATCTTGCTAGCCCAGAACGACACATTTTTGTTTGTTTTGCTTTGCTTTCCGGAAGTGCTGAGGATGGGATCCACGGCCTTGGATGTGTTGGGCAACATCCCCAGCCCTTTAGAACAACACATTTTGTATATTTTCTGACTACTGTACCACCTTTGATGAAAACAACAGTGTGAGCCCTGCCATGGTGTCTTACCTTTATCTCTGCTTTTTTGTTTTATTAACCCAGGGCTCATGAGGAGCTAAATGTGAAACATGAACCATTGCAGCTTGTCCAGCCTCAGTTTGAGATGCCGCTGCCAGCCCTTCAGCCTGCGGTGAGTAGGTGTGTTTGTGGGGCTTCCTGCTCTAGGGCCCCACTCTTTACTCTCACAGTGGACCTTTTATGTGCTATTTATGGCATCCGTCATGGAGCCACAGTGCTCTGCTTCTAAACACATTCACATACCAAACCTGTTAGCATTCTGTGTGAACTTCCATGTGGGAGAGCGGCTGAGAAAGAGTCAACGGTATGGGCTTTATGGCTTTTCCCATCTTGTGGGCTGGAGGGCATATGTGAGGCTGCCAGGGTAAATAAGTGGAAAAACTTTGGGGTGCATTCCCACTCATATCCTTAGTTCAGTTCTAACAGCCTGGGGGCCGACACTGCATGGCTTCCTGAGCAGACCTGAGCAAACATTCACTCTGCATAGGGTATAGATGACAGACCAAGAAACCATTCCACCCAGGCTACTTTGGTGAGCCAATGAGTTATTGCAGTGGGTTACTTACAGGAAGATGGGTGAGGAGTTATTTCCAAGAAGATGCCTAAGGGGTTGCTTCTCAGGCAGCTGCAGCACCAGAAAGCCAGCATAGGTGAGTCCTGAGGAAAGCTGCATCCTCAGAGCTCCCTGTGGCTGTGCACGCAGCTCACCCCAGAATAGCCCTTCCCTCCAATTACTGTTTATTTCACCTCCAGAACAGTTTTGTGAGTCTTGCAACTTTCTGAGCTTCCTGAGCTTTCTGCTTACCCTGTAAGTTTCAGAGAACTCTGAGTCTCTTCTCCCTTCTGGAGGGAGTGTTTCATTTGGGAAGAAGCAGCTATGGAACAGAAGCCATATGTGAATAAGGTCTTTTGCAACTTTCCAGTCCAGCATTAACTCAGTGCACCTTATTTTATCTTGTCCTGTGCATTCTGGAATGTTGTGAGCCAGTTGTCTTCAATTTGCTGGCTTGAAATTTACCACGGCGGTAGTATTTACATCCTAGAAAATGGAAAATGGCACAGACTCTCATGAGAGCTGGTGGTCATTCACCAGCACACCCCCAGTTCATACCTAGGAATTCTAAGTCAGCACTTCTACACTAACCTGCATCTGCTTCCCCAATAACTTCTGTCCCTAAAGAACACATAACTAGCACGGTGTAGTGCTGCACACCTGTAATGCCAGCATCAGGAGGTTGAGGCAAGAGGATCTTAAGTTTGAGGCCACCCTGGACTACATTAACAAGATCCTGTCTCATGACAAAACAAAAACAAATGGCAGGATTACATAAGAAATAAATTGTATCATCAATGCTTTATACAAACCTAAGCCCCAAGCTCATTGTGCTGAGACTTAGCTTTGCATGATGTGGACCTAATAGATGAAGGTGGGAGGAGGTGATGGGAGTTGGGATGGTTCCCTCAGGGGAATGGCTGTGTCAGCCTCTCATTTCTGTGCTTCTTGTCACTGTGAGGGTCTTGAGTGGCTCTTTGGTAAAAACTGTGTTTTCTCCTAGGTCTTCCCTCCTAGTTTCAGGGAATTACCACCCCCTCCTCTGGAGCTCTTTGACTTAGATGAAACATTCTCCTCTGAGAAGGCACGGCTTGCTCAGATTACCAATAAATGTGAGTATTACCAAGTTCATTTTTTTCCTTTCATTTAACCTTAAACCTCTGTGATTTTCTATAAGAGAAAGCCTAATGATTGTTTAGAGAAAACAGAATGTGAGCAGAAGTTGTGGGTTAATCAACTACACTGTGTTTAGGTACTGATGAAGACCTGGAATTCTATGTCAGGAAGTGTGGTGACATTCTTGGAGTAACCAGTAAACTTCCAAAGGATCACCAAGATGCCAAACATATCCTTGAGCACATCTTCTTCCAAGTGGTGGAGTTCAAGAAATTGAACCAGGAGGCCCACTGAGGCCAGAGCCCTTCAGGTGGTGGTAACAGCCATAGGCTGTGTGATGACATTCATTAGTTCTCCAAGTATTTATTGTCTACTGTGTGTAAAATAGGCGGTGATCATTGTGTATGGAACTTCTGTTCTAACTGGAGGATCGAGGCAGACAACACAGAGTGTGTATAGCAAGCACTTAATATGTTAGAAGAATGTTAACGCTGTGGTGTACAAAAATTAGAGCCAGCCAGAGCTGGGGAGATGGGTCAGCACTGACTGTTCTTGCAGAGAACCGGGGTTCAATTCCCAACACCCACATGGCAGCTAACAACTGTCTGTAACTGTAACTCTAGTCCCAGGGAATCTGATGCCTTCTTCTGATCTCTGGGCATTGCACGAGTCAGGTGCACTTATATACGTGCACTTACACACATGCAGGCAATACACTCATACACATTAAAAAAAAATTAGAGCCAGGCAAGAGGGATCCAGTGTGCCAGGTGTGGCAGTGGATGTGACAAGCACTAAATAGAGTGAACAGAAGTGGCTCAGTGCACAGCTGATACTGGATTCCAGTGTGTTGTTGGATCCAGAGCCTTCAGCTGTACTTGGTCTGACTCCTGGTTGCTATGGGCAGTTGTCAGACCCGCTGTCCTGGTGGTGTAAAAACTTGTCCTTGGGTTAGATTCAGTCTCCAGGATAGCTAATACCTGCCAGGTGTGGTGGCAGAGGCAAGTGAATCTCTGTGAGATTGAGGCCAGCCTGGTCTCCATGGCGAGTTCAGGCCAGCTGTGGCCACAGGAAGACCCTGTCTCAAACAAACAAAAATGATAGCTAATACCTATATGTTTCAACTAATAGTGATTCAGAATGTCTGATTAATGTTCAAAATACCAAAGAGTTCATATTTCAGGCTCTGAGCTGAAAAAATTCTGTTTATTCTCTCACCCAGGAGCATGATATTGATGTAAGTGGAATGACATTCCCAAACTTCTGAGGACCGAGCCTCTCAGAGCATTTTCTGCCTCCTGATTCGCCTTGTATTTTTGTTATTCCTCAGCTCCTTACCAAAGTATATGTGCTCTCTTTTCTCTAGAAGGTGTGCGTCTCTAGTGCCGCTATGTAAGCTTTCCTTATGGAAGAGATGCTCCATTTGTTTAAATTAAATCTATGATTGAACTTATATTTTTATAATTTATGAAATGCTCTGTCCTTGAAATTTTTTTTTTCTGATTCCAGTTGAGGAATTGTCTTTAGTTGAAGGTGTACATAACTCTCGAGCTTATTAAAACACTAAAATTTTGGGGCTAGGAGCTGGAGAGATGGCTCAGCAATTAAGAGCAATGGCTGCTCTTGCAGAAGACCTGGGTTTGGTTCCCAGCACCCACGTGGCAGCTAACAACTATCTGTAACTCCAGTTCTAGGGGTCTGACGCCCTCTTTTGACCTCTGTGGGTGTTGCAGGACATGGTGCACCTACCTACATTTCAAGCAATACACCCATACACATTAAGTAAAAATAAATAAAATACTTTAAAAAAAATTGGGGGGCTAGGTCAGAGTCAGATGAAAATCCTGCATGAATTAATTGCTTAAGCTAAAGCTGACCCTATGGACAAATTCAAAAGAATGCAAAACACCCACTCTGGCCTGGGGACATAACTCAGCAAGTGCTTGCTATGCAAGCCTGAGCACCTGAGTTCAGATCCTTAGGATGCCAAGTGTTAAGCCAGCAAGATTGCTCAGGCAGTACTTGCTACCAAGCCTGATACCTAATACCCAATAACTTGAGTTTAATCCCTGGAACCCACATGGTAGAAGGGAAGAACCTACTCCTGCAAGTTCCTCTGACTTCCACACAGATGCTGTGGTACTTGCACATACAGTCATGTACATGCAGAAGCACACACTAATGTAAATCAAAACTGAAATGGATGGTTTGTGAGGACCCACACCCAAGGTTGACCTTCTGGCCTCTACATTCATCCACACCTCTGCACTCACAGGAACTCACACCTTGTTCACCCCACTCCCACAAACATAACCCCACAGTCTGCTTTGCCCTCTGTACTTAAGGGAAAAGGTAAACAATCAGCACCTTTAGATCGTCACCCCTTGGTTGGCTGCTTTGTCTACCCACACTTTTTCTTCTTCCTTTGAACTCTGAAGCAGCCAATTCTGATACAGGGCAAAATGTGACAGCCTGTCCCAGTGAGACTAGCTGGTTGTTATCATGGGACGTTAAGAGACTGCATCTGCCTAAATAGGGCAGAGGATGAATGAGACTGCACAGCAGTGTACTGAAATATAGAGGGACCCACCTTTGAGGAACCCAGAAAGCTGGGTAGAAGATTGCAGAAGAACTGAAGGTATGTAAGGGATGTGGCACAATCAAGATGGGAATGACAGAGGAAAGGTTATTTAGGGGACAGTATGATTCAGCTTCAAGAGAAGCATTGAAGCCTGGAGAGGTAGCTCAGTGGTAGAGTGTTTGCCTATCGTGCATAAGACCCTGGGTTTGATCCCCGGCCCTGCAGCCAGCAGACAACAAAAACCAGAATGTGGACTATGGTGCTGTTCTAAGAAAGGGCTGTTTTGAAACATTTCGTCTGGGTTTGAAGAATGGGTTGGCAAGGTTTAGGGCCTGAATGCTGAGACAAGTGGTAGATCTACTGGAAGACAGGATCTGAAGTCTGAGTAGTTTGGGGGCATAAGAGACCAACCGGGTGCAATGGCACACCTGTTCTACATAGCAAGTTCCAGGCCAGCCAGAGCTATATAATGTGACCCTGTCTCGAAAACAAAAAATCCAACTGAAATAAATCATATAGGTAGACACAGCCAGGAAATTGGTAGAAATGGCTAGAAGAGGTTCAGTCTCATGGTCTAAGCTTTTAAGTCACAAGAATAGGTTGTCAAGGAATGGGTATTTTTAGCCAGGTGTGGTGTCTCATGCCTATAATCTTAGCACTCAGGAGGAGAGGCAGGAGGTTTTCTGCAAGTGCAAGGCCAGCCTGAGATCCACAGTGAGTTCTAGGTCAGCCAGAGGTGCACATGAGACTGTCTGGAAGGGGCTAAGGGGGACATTTTAGAAATTTAAAACTTTGGGGAGTAGCCAGGTGGTGCATACCTTTAATCCCAGTACTCAGGAGGCAGAGGCAGGCAGATCTCTTGAGTTTGAGGCCATTTTGGTCCACATAATGAGTTTTAAGTCAGCCAGGGTTACATAGTGAGACCCTGTCATTTAAAAGATACTCTGGGGGGCAGGCAGCTCAACTACCTATATAACTCTAAAACAGCACGCACACACACATTTTAAAAAATAAAAATATTTTAAAAATACCACCACCATCAAAAATAACTAAACATCAAAGGTAGTTTTAAAACTTTGCTCCTTAAAAGGCCCTAGAGTTATACTCATGCCTCACTGAAATTTAGTTGTGTTTTTGTTGTTTGAAACCTGGTCTCTCCTCTGCAACCCAGGCTGGCTTCCAATTCCTGGCATTCATCCTGCCTCAGTCTCCTGAGTGCTGAGATTACAGGCATGAGCCACCTGGACTGGCTTTGAAATTTAATTTTTAATTAAAAAAAATTAACAATGTAAGTCTTGAGTGTTGAAACTAAAGGGTATAAGGGGAAAGAACTTCACCCCTCTAACCATCTAGCTCCCCAGAAATGTGTGCTTTAATGAGGTTTGCAAAGGGTGATAAATCTATTCCATATAGAAAACTTGCAGTACTGGGAGCTGTTTCAGGGCCTCTGACTCTGATAGGGGAGACGGGGACAGTTTGAAGTCTAGTGGCAGCCAGCTCAGCAGTCTCACATCATGTCAGGTTGACCAGGTCCAAGCTCAGTTTGTGTGCAAGTGCCCCCTAGTGACATCAGGCAGCTGGACTTCTGAGATACCCTGTGCAGAGCCTAGCTCCTGCTAGGTCCAGGAAAGAACCCTAGGTACCAACATGAACTGTCACTAGACAGTGCAGGGCCTTGGGCCTCCATCTACACCAGAAGTGCCTCAAAACAGTGTACATTCTGCTCCACACCTTTTTTGTTTTTACAATTTGTGTAACCTAGGCTGACTTGACATCCTTTTGCCTCAGCCCCCCCAAGACCTGACTTTCTCTCTCCATCCTCACAAAGGAGGATGCTGGTGACCCTGGGTGTGAGCACCAGGCCAGCTGGATAGTTGGTTTCCACCATCTCTGGATGAGGCTTTGTTACTCACGGTCCCTACCTCCCCTGCTCTTGTACTCCTAACTTCTAACCCCCACAACTCTTAAGCTTGGCTGCTGAACTGTTAACTGACTGACCATATTAGAAAAGAACTACACATTCTTGGTGCCCCAGAAGCTTTAGGGTAGAGGGTTGGGATGTGGGCCCAGGCACCATGTGTGTGTAAAGTAGACCCACATGTGGGTCTCCATCAGAAACCCAAGGGGTTTGGATAGGTTCTAACACACCAAAATTCCTTACTTGGTCATTGGATATACGAGGACACAGCTGGGGCTGTGTGAACCTGGACAGAGGAGCCCATGGCCCTGTCCTTTGACCAGTGGCTTCATACTTTGTGAAGTGAGTCTGGAGATCCCCTAGAGTCATGCAAAAGGAACATAGGCATCATCTACCAAACTGTCTCCTTGTGAGCCTTTCCTCCACAGCCATTGTCACTACAAATTGGATTTCAAGTTCTAGAGTTGGATGTAAATAGCATCATTTTCAGTATGTTCTCTTTGGCCTCTTTCAGCGTAATTATTTTGAAAATTGATTTATATCTGTGATTCACCCCAGTTCAGCCCTTTTTACTACTGAATGTATTTGTTTTATATCTCTTACTTGTTCAATCAATTGCTGAATATTTTGGTTGTCTTCAGTTTAGGGCTGTTATGGATCAGTATGTAAAAAGTCTTTGTGTGGTCATGTGCACTTAGAGGCTTGCCTCATAGGGATAGGTACATACTTAAAAGACCTTCTCATCCCTCCTTTCTGATTTGTTTTTGAGACAGGATTTCACTATGAACTGGAACTTGTCATATAGACTGGGCTGGACTCAACCTTCTAGTGATCCTCTGGTCTCTGCCTTTGAGATGATTAAAGATGTGGGTCATCATACTAAGCAAGCACAGGACCAACTGAACTTCCCTAGACCACACCTGCCTTTTTCTTTTTCCTTTTTTTATTTTTCATTTTTTGAAATAGGGTCTCCCTGTAGCCCCAGTTGGCCTGGAACTCACTATGTACACCAGGCTGGCCTTGAATTCAAGAGATCCGCCTTCCTCTGCCTCCCAAGTGCTGCGACTAAAGGTGTGCGCCACTACGGCTGACAAAACAATATATTTTAATGGTAAAGGTACTGTAACTAATTAGGCTGGCCTTGAACTCAAGAGATTTGCCTGCCTCTGCCTCCCAAGTGCTGGGTTTAAAGGTGTGTGCCACCACACCCGGCTTTTTTTCCTTTTTGAGGCAGGGTTTTACTTGTCAAGGCAGTCCTTGGATTTGAGTACTGGTATTTACGGAGTCTGCCCCCATCCAGCTCTTTGTTTTCATTCTCTTTCCTTTTCCTTCTGCTGGTTTTTGAGAAAATGTCTCACTATACAGCCCCAGCTGGCCTGAAACTCAATATGTAGGCCAGGCTGGCCTTGAACTCACAGAGATCTACCAGCCTTTGCTTCCTGAGTGCTGGCATCAAAGGCATACACCACTACACTGGACTGGAAACCCATTCTTTTTTCTTCTATTTTGATTTTTATTTTATGTGTATGAGTGTTTTGCCTAAATGTATGTAAGTGTACCATGCCCATGTAGGCTAGAAGAGCGTGTCAGATCCCCTGGAACTGGAGTTATGTACAGTTGTTAGCCACCATGTGGGCTCTGGGAATCAAACCCATGTTCTCTGCAAGAACAGCCAGTGATCTTAACTGCTGAGCCTTCGCTCCAGCCCCATTCTTCTTTTTTCTTGAGATAAGGTCTTTCTGCATACCCATACTGGCCTGGAATTCATTATGTAGCCAGACTTATAATGGCACATGCCAGTAATCCCAACACTGGGGAGACAGAGGCAGGCAGATTTCTGCTGGTTCCAGGCAAGCCAGAGCTATATAGTGAGAACCTGTCTAGAAAAAAAGAAAAGGGAAAAAAACCTGTTTCCAAAGTGGTTTTACAATTTTACATTCCTACCAGCAGTATTTAAGAATTCCAGTTC